GAGAAACAGAGAGAGAAAAGATCGAAAAAGAAAGAAGCTGAGAGAGGGAAAAAGAGAGGACCTGAGAGAGAAAAATGAAGTTAGGGCAGCAGAGATAAAAGGAAGAGAGAGAACGAAGAAAAAATTATAGAAAGAGGAAAAAGAGAGAGAGAGAGAGAGAGAGAGCATACACAGAGCCAACTATGAAAGTCATGGCTGTAAATCACTTATCATGAAACTCGAACCTTGTCACTTCCTGCACTCCGCTCGGCGATCTCTTTCCTCTCTCCTTCTCTCTCTTCCTCGCTCTTCGTTTCTAGTAATCCCGAGGTCTTAGTCACCCGCTCCAGAACCAATTACTGCACACCAGGTGTGTAACGCGGTTCGCGAAAAGACGGATCGCGAATAAACAAAGAAACAATTGACCCTTCGACGTGCGCTCGGTGAGGATCTCAGCATCAATCCGATAGGAATCAAAGATGCACGTTGCATTGAACGCGACAAAATTACTTAACAAAAGATTCACTATGAAATATTGAATAAGGTACTAACACATGAAACATAGAAACAATTCTGCCCTACAGTTTATGCAAGATGTTACTTTATGTAAGTTGCAAATAATATAAATATCTCATCGGAAAATAATGAATGTCTGCAAGACATTAGAACCGAAAGGATAGTTTCCAAGTAAACCGACGCCGCGAATTCCAAAACGGGTCCAGTTTTTAACGTTATCTATATGGGTTATTGATTTAACCGTTTGCAGCTTGCTCAGACCTGTTCAACGACATTAAAAATGCGTAACGAAGATGCGTGTGTAGGAAACGCGAGGTAAAATATATAACGGTCGAAAGATGAAAAAGATCGTCGAAACGATCGGTTGGCTTGTTTCGGGATTCGCGGGTTCAACCGGGTCGCGACGAACGGAAACCTTCGCTCTTTTCAGCTGCGGCCCAGAGACACCGGCCGATTTGCATACGGGCCGAGGGGACCGATCGGAGGGGGTGTAATGAGATCAGATCCCTCGGAAACCCGGTTATCAACGGACTCGCGTGTCGACTCTGTTTCCTGCGCTGACCGCTCGCCCGCCAGCTATCTTCTGGTTTTCTTACCGGACCTCGATATATGTTTCATTAGAACGAGCTATGCGCGGAATAGAGGGGAACGATCGACATTGAACGCGATCGC